TTGAAAATTTATAACGTAACTTACATTTTACATCCGTAAAGATTTCCTACAGTGTTTCGACAGTGAAGCCGAAGTACACGTCTGCGGATATTTTCTGATGAGTTTATAATCTATTAAATTTCTAAACTCGAAATTATCAATACAATATAATAAATGAACCATGCCTCGTATTGCCAGACCGTGAACGCGCATTTCGACCCGCTGAAAGGATAGGTATATAATATAGTTATAATTATTATACCCTTCGCGAGAACTTTGTGTTTTTCACAAGAGGAAACGCAATATAATATATAATGCTGTATATATATATAATGTATTATAGTGAACTGTGGTCGGATGCGTATATCAGACGTTCTGCAGACGGTCGTCGAGATATTGCCGAGCAAAAGACCGCAAAAACGCAACAATGATGGACGGGCAGACCGAAGAGTTGGCAGCCGTTCGAGTGGATACACCGGATCCAGGTACAGAACGCATACACACTCATACCTACACAAACACACACTTTACGCGCGTTATACAATACGGGCGTGTCTAGTTATCCGAAAATCAAACACAATGTATCTATAATATTATATTATATAGCATTATGATTATTAAACCTACCTAACCTGCGGTGTGTATAATACCTATAATACCTATAATATACTACATCTGGTCTTAAAAATAAAAACGGAACCGAAACATACGAAAACACTTTAAATAATAATATCGTATTATTTATTATATTAAATGCGCATTGAAGCAGTACTTCATCCTTCCTCAGATGGATCGAGTTGTTATTATATATATTATTGTAAGTGCGCCGTGTCAAATGAACCGTGACGACGGTTGAGACTGCGATTTTAGCTGTACAATACTATTCGCGGATAGTAATAATGTATTATATATACAATTTTATATGTTTATATTATATACAAAGTTAACGTCGATGAATCCCAACGTCGCATATAAACGGTTAAACTGACAGTCCATCTCCCTGTACAATATAATAATGCATATATTACACGCGGGAAATGGGTATTACAATAATAAGTAGACACGGGTAGAGGTATATAATAATATTATATACTACAATACCTTCGGAGCGTGTGGTACGTGTCGTACGTCCGCGGCGGAGACTTGAATGCCAGGTAATGATATGTTTGTACAAACACACTCGACTCCGACGACAATGGACATTGACAATAATACATATCATAATATTGAATGCGATGTTTTTCCTTCTCGGTTTCCGATTTCGCATCGATCTCCGCGCCCGGCTATGTCGTCGTTGTTGGGACGTCGACAAAAGGAGCGTCGCGGATCAACGGCAGCGTAGCACAAGATTATTTTAACGACGATCACATGTTTGCCCGGCAGATCACGTCGGAGATAAACGCGATACCGTGAACAATAATAATACTGCCGTGTCCTATGCGCGGTTTCCGTGTACATTTCCTCGCACAGTCGTATTATTATATATACCATATTATTTCACGTGATATTGTGTTCTACATGGCATATTATACCTGTGGTGGAAGCCTATATACATGGCTATATATATGCATCTAATATCAACAACGTTACAGCGCACGAGTGATCGAGTAAAGAGCAGCTTGCTCGTTGTTGTTGTGAACGTTGTGATTTATACAATATGTGCACATGCACACATTTATTTACATTGCATAATAGTAATAGGTGTAATGTCAGCCATGTTGTACAAATAGAAATGATAAAAAAAAAAATGTACGTCAGGCACGTGTCTTGACTCTTGGAGTAAATGAATAAAAAAATCCAAAAAATAAACATCCGGGAACAAAAATATTCAAAATCAAATAGTAAGTATTACTTAAAAAAAATAATACATTAAAAAATATTAAAAAAAAAAATTTAACGAATAGAAAAGTCAAAACTCTACAAGAAAATTTCTTAGATAAAGTTTAATTTATGAATTTTCTAATTACCTTTTTTTTTCTTTAGATATTTTAACACAGACTCGTGGTTTATAGAAAAAAAAAAATTTTAAGCTATTTCCAAAAATTTTTTTTGACATAAAATTTTAGTTTTTGGTAGTCATATTATGTTCACCATTGATATCTAAAATTGAGAGCAACATTATTTGTTTTTTATATTTTTTCTATTGTTTATCCGATAACATTTAATCTGTTCGTTTAACATTATTTGTACTTTGTTTTCCTAGCTTTTTATGAGGAAGACCATTTCTAATTTAGCAATTGATTTTAGTATTTTAAAATAATATATCTAATTTTTATATCATATTATTTGGATATATAAAATATAATCAATAATTAAGTTATTTTTCTCCTTATCTTTATTTTTAATATTAATCATAAATATATATGTTATAGTTTATCATTTTTAAACATCAAACAACAGTATCGAATTGAATATTTGACGATTGAAAGTTTTGACCCTTGAATGTATATTATTCTAATATTACAGTAACGGTTATTTATTAGGTTATAAGTAGTTAATATAATTTGCTTGTTGGGAAGTAGATTTTTACATCAAATACATTGTAATCGCGTCGAAAAAAAATTGCGAAATTAATATAGGTACAGTAACGGTAATTTATTATTATTATTGCGTGCATTCAACACCAGTCATTTGCATAAAGAATTTGAAATTCAGGAAAAAATCTGATACGGGATTATTTATTTTATTTTTAAAATAATTTTATATTTAAAACTATGTGGCCTTATTACCTTCAATTGATTTGTAATTTATTAAAGCCATCAAAATATAAAATCTTATAGAGTATAGCATAATAAAATATTTATTATCATACGCACCTTTGTTAAAAATGATAAATAGTTGATGATGAAGCCTAGATAAGATAAAACGTTTAAAGTTATCGTTTTACTTTCATTTATTTGCGTTTATACATATATATTTGATTTCATTAGTTTCAATAATGAAAGATTCTGAACGGAATGTATTGATTTTACGATGAGTGTATTTTGTGTCTGACGTCAACTTTACTTGAAATTTACCAAATATTTATAAAGCATTTTATTGATATGACAAATTATATCAGCTCTATTGAGCTGTAAGATATAAACATTATAAATCAACAATTTTTTTGTGATTGATGTTGATAATATTATTTTTATAATTTGAAAAGCTTGAAAACTTAATATTAAGTTTATTTTATTACGAAGTATTTTTTTTTTTCATTTAATAAGAATGTTCAGTATTTACGAATTAAATTGTATTAATATTTAATAGATATATATTATATTCAACGTTAATAAGATAATAAAATAAAAATAATTATTTGCTAGACCTATATAAGTTATAATTTTGTATAACTTATATTTGAAATAATATGTTAACCATATGACATTAAAACAAAAAGGAAATCAGAAAAAATATGTAACTAATATTTGATTTTGATTTAAGTATTAACATTGTATAGCATATAGTGGATTAAACATTTAAATAACTAGTATTTATATTATTTTTATAAATAACGAATTAAATTCCTATTCCCTTAACATGGCTTATAAAAAATAATGTACCTAATATTAAAGCTATAGATAATATTCAGTTACTGTTAACATAGTTAAATTATACTATTGTTATATTCTTATGATATAAATTTTGAAATATAAGTTTAAATATCTATAAATATAGCTTTTAGAACTTATTGTTTGTGTCATATTTTTGTTGTTATGTAAATAATCTTAAAAATGAAATTGGTGCTATTACATATAATTTATTGTTCTGTTACCTAGTAATAATAATAATAATGCTATGAGAAAAAAATAAAGACACTAAAATTTAAAGTGATACAAATCCTCTTAACTTCAAAAAAAAAAAAAATAATAATAATAATACCATCAATACGTATGAGATGTGGGTTTATTTAAATCGTAAAAATATCCAATTTCCCTACAAAAAATAATAGATAAATGAATACCGTTTACAATATTATACTACATGGTATATATTTTTATGTATAGCATTTATTTAGGTTGGCAGTAGAATTTTAAATCCTATTTATTTTGGCGTTATATTCTCATACGAAAATAACACAAAAATAATATACGTAATAGGTATATACAAATATAATTATGTACAAGGACGACGTTACGTTTGTGGGGTCGTTTCGAGTACAGAAGACGATAACATTATATTTGCACGCTGTTATTAGTGTTACATACCATGTAGTATGAACAAAAAAATTAGTGTTTACTACCTTTACTCCACAGTCCTGAAATATTACATATTATTGGACAGCATTTCTCGTCCGACATATGTACTAGACGTAAAACGACGTACGTTTATAACAGTATAGTGTCTTACATTGCCGTCGTGCACCTAGTATCATCTGTTGTGTCTTTAGCAGCCAACCCATGTATGCAATACGCGTGTATTACAAGTATATTATGCACGTTAGTATACTGTACGACGTTCGACAACTTACGTCGTGTTTACGAAGATGGTGACCGGTGACGATCTAAAGTCTAAACGTAACTCGACGATTTGCAAACCAATATTATTGAGAAATTTTAAAAAATTTTACATGATTCTCATCCTCGCTTTTTAAGTAATTTTTTTATTGATTTGAAAATTCCAAAAATTTATTTGAAATTGGTTTGTGGTATAATGTTGTATTATAGTTTTAATCCGGTCGGAGAATCGGTATTTCCTAGTTGGGGCTTTCAAAATGTTTATGGGACTGCAGGTTAGGTCCCCAATTGTCGGCGGGGGGTGCACTGAGCACGGTGTTGTGTCATGTTGTGCCGGATAATCGGCTTATAATGGTGGATTACAATTTCTCGTGGAGGTGTTACACCAGAACGAAATGGGAACCTCTAACAACCAACACTGTGCTTACCCTCGCGAAGATACCGGATCCATGGGTTGGCGGGGATGTACTCTGTGGGGTGGTGTCACACAATTATTCCGTAGAATTAAACAGGACATCGCATATCGGAAGACAAATTATGTATTTACGAGTATATATAAGTGTTATAATAGTACAATGCGTATATTTATTTTTAATCATTAAATAATAATATATAGGTACAAAAATATAATATTATAATATTGTTTATCGTTCGCCGCGACGACGAGTGCGTGTGAGCAAAAGTAAAATAACATATTACACTAAACATATAAACACGTCAGACTTTAGTTAAGGTTCGATAATTACTATTACAATCATAGGTGGAACGCGTTTTTATATCACCCACGCAGGCAAACGATAAAAGCACCGAATATAGCAGGATAAGTGGGCGATGGTGACCAACAGAAACCGATAGTCGGTTGTCGTTAAATTCTTTCGGTATATTAGTACGAAAGCGCGATTTTTTTTTCTTGCTAATCTCAAGAGTAGAACATCATCGGTTCATGGCACCTTTGATCTATAGTCGATGATGGATACGTCAATGGTCCGTGATTGTGCCACGCTGTCTGTAGTGGCCAAGATGATTGGTAATCATTGCAATACGCCGTTTCGGGCCACGTCCTATCAATAGGGTGTGGCTGCTGCTGCTGGTGCTGAGTGCCACTTGGTTTTTGAAGCCATCTGTCCGGTTGGTAACTATGGTCATGCCCAGTTTGCTCGGTGGATATACCAAGTAGGTGGTCAAGACGTTGTGGTTCAAAGTAACCAGAATCATTGAGACAGTGGCTCGTTGCTGGATGTTGGTGGTGCTTAGATGATTCCTTTATGGGTGTTGAAGTCGCCAATGGCTCGGAAATTGGCGAGCAAGGTTTCTTCTGCTGTGCCAAAGCACATGTTCCCGTCGAAGAAGTGATCTGTAAATGTTAACAATTTTCCTTTTATAACAATGTCCAATAAACGATAATAAAAGTAATTGTAGGCGTGGAATGTAAATAACATCATTTTTTTTTTTTTTTTTTTAATAGTAAATTGTATAATATTGTATACTCGTATTGTATATTTTTGTCCCCTATTCTCATAAAGATAAAATCAATAGACGTTGGAATTTTTTTTTTGTATTTTAATATTTTTATTTTACAGCGTGCTACATAGTTAAAGAAAAAATTAATATTTTTGTACATTTCTAAGAAGTGTAAGGATCATAAAATATTTTAAAATCATTTTATTTACCATTGGCAGTCAACTTAAAATATTTTTAGTTACACATTAAAAATATTATTAAAATTAAAATAAATGATATTTTTTATTTTTAACACAACTTTTTGTCTAAAAGTTCTAAAATAGAATATTAAACACCAATTATTTTTCTCACATAATTTCCAGTTGAATTATTAAACTAATTTTTGAAAAAAAAAATCATAATTTTTATCATTATGATTTTTAATTTTTTAAATACATAAATATATAATTTTATATTCTGAAGCAAAATATTTTTTAGAGTATTTCAATACATAAAAATCAATACTCAGACTATTAGTATAATGATTTAAAATATTTAAAGATGAGATAATCGAAATAGTAATTAACATTTTGTGGAATATCCCCGTACCACACTCCACTCCACTCCACTCTTTGAAACTTTAAATACTTACATTTCGCATAAACTAGTTGTTCGATTTCGATTAATGTATATCATAATACTTCAAAAAATATTCTGCAGCAGAATATAAATTAACCACGTGGTTATTCCAAAAAAAAAATGATTTTAAAAATGATTATTATATATTATATTTAAAAAAATGTTTTATTTTTATTGAAAATCATTTTAAGACGAATAGTTTTAAAATGTCAATAGATTTAAAAATACTACGTAATATTTAATAAAATAATCACCCTACATAAACATTTTCGTATAATTGTCAAAATTTCACTTTATTAATTCTTTTTAAAATGTTTATAGTATTTAATTAAAAATAATTATAATTTTCTAGTTTGATTTTTCGCTATAATATGTAAAAACTTAAAAGTAAATAATATTTTACTCACTTTATTGCCTTGTTGGCTTATGCTGACTGTTACGTCACCCATGGTAAGCATTAGTGGTTGGTTTTGGTCTAGTGGTGATTGTTCGGTAGTCTCAACGACTTGTAGTGTATGGGATAGTGCCCAAATGTAGTTGTGTGCGAATCTAAGAGTTTCAATTTTTGTTAATTTCGCATCATCTGGGTATGTTGGTAAAACACATCGAAGTCTATCCAAAGCTTCGTTTAACATGTGCATCCGATTTCGTTCTCTGTCATTGGCTTTCATGCGACGGTGTTTTTTTATTTTAATCAACTAAAATCAAAAAAAAAAAATAAAAAAAATAATTTATATTAATATTTTTCAATTTTTTTTTTTTTATTTGGTCCCTATAAATTTGTTATATTTTCCTATGGCATTCTAACTATATTATTTTACCTGCATAGGACTTCGTTCTCTCGTTCTTCTTTGACGGCGTTTTTTTGGTTTCACTTGTAGGTCATCGTCGGCTAAACTTACGGACGAAGCAAAACTCTCCGAACCCATTGTATCGTCAAACGAAAACGTAGCTTCATTTTCCGAGTCAAAGCTCATTTCAAATCCAGAATCAGAACCGTCAAGACCGTACAAACACTTCGGATCCATGGTCGCCAAGAGACTGGTTATACACAAACACTGAGCGTTAGATCATCGCACCCTCGCAGAAACTCGTTCGGGGGTGGGCGGGCCAGCTGTTTTACTATTGGACAAGTGCAACACCCTCATCATTGTCATCGAGTTTGGGGTGGGGGTATGTTTTGCTGTGGCTGTTTTAGATTCTTGATTATTTTATTCGTAAATCGCAAATTTTATACTCACTTTTTCATCGGGAATTCGTTTCGACACATAAACCACTTTTTAGCAGATGTATATGTAGCGCCGATATTTTCCGAAGAAAATCAAAAAGGGTTAACACATGTTTTTTATAAGGTACTTTTTATAATATGGAAGCGTAAACGATAAATCAAATAATAGTCATTTAGCCTGTAACGAATTGTAAATTATTATTATTGACGCGCCGTGTATATAAAATAAATAGCAATAAGTGGAGTAGAGCGTTGTGAACTCGGGATAAGGCGTCAAAAATCGAAAACACCCGTAAATCAAATTATAGCATAATATTATGTAACGGGGTAAAGAGTAGGTATATTATTTTATTTTTGTAACGAATATTTCTAAGCAGCTGGCCATCTGTATATATTATATAGGTCTCAAAAATAATACATGAAGATACACCAACCATGGGTGTGCACAAACTGTTTAACCTATCTAATTTTTAACATTGATGTAAAAACCACTGTGATTCTGATAAACGCATTAAATTGTGTTGCTCAGGAAGCCATAACGATGTCCATTAGGGCATAAATTTAAATGAGAATGGGCACACGCGGCAAAAATGATGATTATTATCATACTATTAATGTACGTACTGTTTTTAAGCTCTACGGCCCATGTTATACGATGCCCGTTATTAAAATGTTCCGGATGACGTTTATTTTATTTTTTTTAACCAAAATCTATACTAGCGACGTGAATCCTAGCGGCGTCAATGATCCAGAAATAAATCCCGTGTCGCACGAGACGTGTTCCGTGGAACATGTTTGTGGAATACAATGTTTCATCACGTATTCGTTACCTTTGACCACATCACACTTGAATAACGCTATTGGTATATAGGCAATAATTATTATAAGTTATGTTAGGCATATTCTTGGCAGGTGGGCTTAAAACATAGTATTTACATGAGTATTATCTGTTATGGTTAAATGATTAAATTTATCAAATTAGCATACACGCAATTGCTATGGGTAATACTATTTGCAGAATAAAACGCTATAGGTACTTAACACATTTAATGTTATACATACTAATTTTGGTTCTATATCCGACACGCCAATGCTCAATGCAATAATTATAATGTAGCATTTTACTTACCTGCGATGATAAAAGACATATATTACCTGGTATAATACTTTAAATAAAATATGTTGTTTGTACCATGTGAACATATTTTTACTTTAGATGGCATTGTTATGATGTGAAAAAAAAACACTCGTCCGTCTAAATTACCGTTATATTATGAACATAATATATCTTCTTTTCAGGACGTGGTCTTATAAAGAAACTGTTTCAGTGTAATGTTTGTTCGGGTAACAAAAATAAATAATTACCAATGGCAAATTAATAATGATAATATTAAACTGCTTTTATAGTTTTCGAGATAACTTTTTTGGTGGCTTCTGTTTTACTAAGAAATTGTTATAATTATTACAACCACTTGTAATACAAATGAAATAAATGAACTGAAAAATAAATGCAAAAACAAAAGATATGTTTAATTACGATATTTTTCATTGAATCAGTTTTTGATATGCTCTAAAAACACATGTTTCAAACGTATCCAATAAAGCGAAAATGTATTTATTTATTATTAGTTTTGTGTCTGTATATAAATAACAGACATGTTTTGTGATTAATGTTTATGTTTAGATAAGTAGATATCTAATAAAAACTATATTTTTCGTTTCAGCTATTGTTGTTTTAGCTTAGACAAGTTAACTTATGTTTAAACATGTTACTATGCTATTTTTTAGACATTTTAAAACTTTTTTTTGTATTTTTACAATTCTATACAATAAACAATGGATTATTTTTGATTCAACAGACGTTAATCATACTATCACAATATAACGGACGTTACGCATTTTACCGTAAAAACTATTAAGCTATTTAAATGTTTATATATACGAGTACAATTATACCTATTATCATTTATCGGCCTTACATGCGTTAGACACTGCAGTACAGTGATCCTTTTTGCGGTAATATAATATTAAAAGTTTCGGCCGAATTACCAATTTGCACTGCCGCGTCGGGTACAGAACGAGCGTGAATAAAAAATAATAATAATAATAATAAAACAAAAAAAAAACTTTTTGCATTCGTATTGTATATTATACGTGTATAGGTTTTGGGGCTCCACAAACAACCGGAACAAAACGGGTTCCATTGAAAAGAAAAGGGTTGGTAAATTATTAACTGGACCCTTTTAGGGGTTTTTCGTTTCAAAGATCACTCTCCCTCTTTTGATGTATATACTTTATACACTTTTTTTTTTTTGTTCATTTTTAAACGAGTATTTTGCGACAATGTATTCATATGCATTATACGTACACGTAAAATCGATGCACCCGGCCGTCTATTAGTGCGTCAACAAGGCATTACAAGTCGGATTATCGTTTATTTACTTATCGGTCAAATCAAAAATATATATGACTTGGCCTTAAAGGTTCTACTTTTTTACCGTAAGCCGTATTACATGCATATTAATATTTAATAGTCAGCGGTTTGTTCATTAATTTATCGTTTAAAAAGTTTTTGATAGAAAAATAAAACTCTGGTGATTATTATAATATAAGCATATCGTTCTTAAACGTTATTACTTCTCAAAAAAATATTCGAACAATCTTTTCTTTCTTAGAAAAAAATTTTATACACGCTTTTAAAGTGGACGAAATTAATTTTATTCATAAATAATTATAGTATAATATATAGTATACTATACTATAAAGTGCCACAGAAGTATTTTTTTTAATTTTAAAATTTTGATTAATAATGTTTTAATACTTTTATAAGTTTATATCATATAATTATTTCATTTTAAAATACTCATTACTTCAGTATTCTATTTATTTTATAATATTTATATATAGTGCTTTTCTATACATTAAAACATTCCAAGTTTCGTGTTGAAAACCCATGATCTTTATTTTCTTAATTTATTCATGCATATATTACATAATTACATTACTAATGATTTTCTTGCATTTTAATTGAAATTTGCGTACCTGTAACATTTCTGCTACAATAAATAATTAAAAAATATTTACATCTTCGAAAAAAAAAAATTAACAAACACACAAGATATTTAACTTTAAGCTATTCAATGCAATAATAGTTTAGGAATCAGAATAAATAATGATCGTAGAATATGTTAAAATCATCAAAGCTTGGTTATTCTAGCACAGTTATTAATTGTATATGTTAAATATAATTTTCTTTTTTTTTTTTTCATTAAATGAAATAGCAATTTTTATTTTTGTAAAATCAGTATCTACAAACCAACGTTCTCATAGAAACACACATAATTGCCCTAAATAGAATAACAGGATAAGTGTAAGTGTACAATGAGTCAATGAACAACCAGCTTAACGTTTGTTATTTTTATTATTTTGTAAGCTCTGAACAAACTATGAGATATATTTTAATTTTTTTCTTATTTAGTCTGAAAAAAATAATTTCAAAAAGACTCAAGTTCTGTAGATTAATTATAATGAATAGCTAAATTATTTTTATGTTACTGGGAGTTGTAGAGTTGTATTTATCTTGTAATTTGATTAAATCGTTGTATTTTCAAATAACTATTATAGTTATTAGTGTGATAAATATATTTTTTCCATTAATGAAAAAAAAAACATACTATAATGAAAAAACATTGAAAAATTCAAATCAGATTATTGATTTCTGATTAAATAGTAATAATTAGCAATATTTACTTTTACGGGTTTCATGATTCAAATAAACATAGAAAATTACATTTAACGGCAACTAATTAGTAATTTATTACACCGAACGTTATAGTTAAAAACATCATCTGGGTTGTTTGTTTTATTGTTTTCCTGATAAATAGCCAAGCGAATTTTTTCCATACCTTAACTATACGTATTACTCCGTGACGTACATAATAATTAATGGCGGTGCGTAATCATACACACGAAGAGAAATAAGTAAAAGTTACATTTTGATATTTGATAACCGTGATGAGTGGGTAGGTGGTAAATAAAATATTATGTTGATGATAATTATTGATGTAAGATATTCGTAAACTATAAATCAGGTGTTTTTAATAAAAAAAAAGTTAATAAAACGCCATTGATTTTGAATATTGAATGACCAATGGTGACCAATAACTATTTATAAAAATACCAATATCAATGAAATTCTATTTACGAAAAAAAAAAAAATCTAAATAATAAATTTATAAAAAAAATAGAATAAATAGAAATATTTATTAATAAAATAAATATTATTAGTTATTATTAATAAATGAATTATTATTAGTTATTATTAATAAATGAATTATTATTATTTATTTATTTATTTATAGAATAAATCTATTTATTTGTATATTTATAAAAATCTATTTAAACATTTTAAATAAATAAACTTTGTTATATTGGACTCCATTCAAACGTTTATTATCAATGGAACTCGATATGTATTCCATTTAATATTATTTTGATATAATATATGTGTACACCGCCAATAACATGCAATAAACCGTGTATTAATATTACCTAAATGTACTATTAATAGTTTGTCGTTTAAAGTTTTAAATCGAATAACTTGTATGATATATTTTGGTAATCGTGCTTAAATTTCTAAATTACAAATATTACTGATTAATGAATATAAAAGTATAATACTATATTAAATTTCCGATTTTTTTCCTGGTTAATACGATTTATACAAATTATAATTCGTAATTTGTTTAAGTTTTAACTCCATCTGAAAACGTAAGTTTTTAATTTGATTCTTCAGCTCCA